GCACTCGTGTCTGTATCAGTAAAGTCCCTGGCGTTTGTTTCGTAGGAGTTTAAAAACAGTATCTAGTAAACAGCTCAATCAAAAAGAGAAAGTAGCATCTTGCATTTCCGACTTTCACTGTCCGCCGCCTTTGCTGCTACCATTTCTCAGTGACATTATTGCCTTCATGTTCTGGCCACATTCTGAGGGCACATTCTTTCCTTGAGAACCTTTTGGATATTGTTCCGCTGTCTCCTAGCTTTTCATATCTGACACGGAGAGAAATCTCAGCTTCCTAGCGTTTCTGAGTGTCCACAGAATTCTTTCAGGAATTTAAAATATCATTAACTTAGTAGAGTGTTTCCTTGTGAAATGATGTATAGAGACACAGCCTTGAATGTCACTGTGCTATTTTTGTCTGCGCATTGAAATTTGCCTTTATTTTAGGAATGGTACTTGAAATTATATGTTTGGATGTTTTTTCCCGTTCCATTCATTTTTCATTTGGGCAGGACGGCGCCATCATGGATGGTCAAACGCGTCTGCCTGAGTCTCTTCTCTGTGTCTGTCTGTCTGTCTGTCTCTGTCTTTCTCTCTCACTCACTCAGTGCTCATTCTCGTCTCTCTCATTCACTCGAGGCTCTGTCTGCTTCCTCTTCGCTCCCATGCAGCGCATGATCCGTAACGTCTTCTTCCTTATCTCCCTCCTTCGGTTCTCACTCCACTGCAACGCTGTCTTAATTGCTCGGATTCCGCGGACATGTCTCCGCTCGAGCTTTCTGGCTGCCCTGTGCTGGAATTTTCCCGGGATGCGTCTTCATCAATCGCGTCCTGCTCTCTTTTTCTCTTTCTCTTTGTCCTCCCCTTGCAGCATCTCTTTCAAGGCCCCTGGCTGGCGACCGCTTGTTTGAGGAGTATCATCTGTCACGTGAGAAGGAGGACAAGTCTGCGGCACCAGGCACTTGAGCAAGGCCGGGGGGGCTGGGCGCAGGGACCGGCACGGTGCCGGGCGGCTTCTGGGCTGGGACTCGGGACATCCCTGCCGTCCTGTGCCTGGGCGTGGCCTTCCCAGGCCAACAGCCAGGCGTTGGGGCTCACGCCGAGGACACGCACTTCCAGAACGTTCCACGGTGGGTATGTCACCTGGGCCCCGTCACCCCGGGTGAAGCCTGGTAGCCGCTGGCCTATGTGGCAGCTCTTCGCTTGCCCTCCTTTACCACGTGCGGCCAGCTTTGGACAACGTGTTTGTTCCTTCCTTATTTCCCAGGGCCCCAGCACCCCCATCCTACGCCAGGCCCGAGGCACGTGGTGGGGAGCTTCCCGAACCACCCGCGGCCCCTGACCTTGTCCTTCCAAGCAAGGAGTCTCTGCTTCTCCTTTAAAAGTGCTGCTCACTCTGAATAGGTCAGCGCTGCCATCTCTGTCCATGTTACACAGAAAAAGATGGCTTCTCCTGATGTCCCCAGCACCGTCACCCCATCGGCCACGCCCCTGGCCATCTTTCCGCCCGTATTGTGATCCAGGGCTCCGGAGGGTGTCCGGTTTCATCAAAAATAACGTTTCTTTGGTATTTAATCTCTCGGTTGTTTTGGGTTGGTTTCATAGAAGAAATGGGACAGGTTTTTACAACCGCTTATAATTGAAAGAACAGTTCCTTCAAGATTCGTTTTTTTTTTTTTCCATCCAAATGAATTCGATGAGGAGAGGAGGCTTGAAAAGAATGTCTAATAATGTTAATATTCAAAAAGCCACAGGTAGAGGGCGCAGAACGTTCTATCGGGGTACGATGGCAGTTTTAATGCTGTATCGGGACAAACGACACTAAAATCCTATTATGAGGATGAAGAGGCACAGGGAGAAACCTGATGGAGAATCCCGATGCTTTCTAGAGCATGGAGTCATGGGACATTTCTTCTTAAATTCAGAACAATTAGATGGCACCTACAGATAACCGCATTCAGTTTTTACCGAGCTATTTTGAATGAAATGTACCACGGGGGATACAGCTCCGGGATCACGTGGACTGCTCAGTGTCACCTGCATCTGTTTTCCTGAGGCAGGACCTGGCAGGGTGAGCCTGGGAATAAGAAAAGACGTCATGGCCGACAAGTGTTGGGACACCTGAGACAAACCTCAGACTCAGGGACGTGGACAAAGTCCAAACGAGACCTAAGCAACACGGGCCACTGCGCAGAAGGCGAAAGACCAAGGACCACAGCTTCACGGCCGCTGCGGAAGGACACGAGATTGTCGTCGGTGCCGAGGCCGACAGCTGCCGCGCCATCAGCGTGATGAAGCCGGACACCATGGCAACGGCAGCTTCGAAGGGTGAGGGAGATGTCAAACCGGAAGTCACCACCCAGCGAGAACGTCCTTCAGAAAGAGCGGCCAAACGAGGACATGCTTAGATGTAAGAGAACGGAGAGAATGTGTCCTCATCAGAGCCATACACGCAAACGTTAAATGACGCCGTTTGGGACCGGAATGTGTACAGCAATGATAAAACTTTACCAGCAGTGAGATTCCCTGTTTGCTTGTTTCAGACTTTGGAGTGGACTCTGCCCCATTATGCTGGCAAGCGCACAGCGCTGATGAGGTTTGCAGAGAAACAGATGTTCCTTATATTGGCTAAATACTTATTCTTATTTATTAAGACTTCGAGTATGGAAGGCACGCCATCTCTTTCCTAAAGCGGGTTTAGAGAACATACAGTTGTAAGTGACTCTGCATAACATAGGAAGTCACCACCCCTTTCACAAGGTCATGTCACAAGTGTATGTGACTTCGTTTCCCAAGGCCTGATGACTGTAGAGAGAATAAAAAAAATTAGGCTTCTCGAATAGCTCTCTATCATCTTCACCCCCTAAAGACACAGACTACTTGCACCGTGGTAAACAGAGGTATTTTAGTGTGAAAATACTCATTTCGCATGTAATGTCATAGAAATCCACGCGGGACACAGGAGTCCCGGTCACCTGCAGCCACACCTTACCACAGAGCTCTAATGGAAAGGGGGCAGGTTCGCGGTTCCGAAATGACTTGGTGACAGCTGCCCGCCACGACGTGGAGCGGGAGGGGAAGGCGTGACTACCGAACTCTTCAGACACACAGAAAAAGTCAGCTGACGCGAGAGCCAAACGCCTCAGACCAGGCACCGCAACCAACGGCGTCACCGCCAAGAGTCACCGGGTGCGGAAAAGTTCTGGCCAGCGACGTAAGCATGTGCGTGACGGAAGCGTAACCTGATAAAACACCCTGAGACGCACCTCGCTCGGTGCTGCTCTGGTTCAGCGCAGTGTCAACCCTTCTGCTGAATGTCGCGTACACTGTTCCAAGATACAGCGGCATGTCCTACGGGGCCTGCCACCCAGCGCAGATGACATTTCTGCAATCAAGTCAACGTGGATGGAGGCTGTGCGGATAAGAGTTAACCCGTGAGAGCATTTCGTGCGAACTCAGTGCTGCAGCGTGCACGGCGCAGTCTACGGAACGGCCAGGACGCAGAACACTTTCAGGCCTCCACACGCGCTTTCAAGATAATGCGAGCTCCTCACCCAACAAACGTGCTTTCTGCAAAGCGAATATTTTCAATCGGCGAAAACTGGAGTAACGATCGTAGCTGCCGCTGTGTAAGTCACGCATTGTGTGTTAAGTGTGCTCCTTCCACGTGTGACACTTCTTCGCATCGATGCTGCATGGGACTCACTACCCGGCCTCACCGGTCAGGAGCCCAGAGCGGGCAAGGGCGAACCGTTTAGCCCCAGCGCTGGGGCGTGACTCGAATTCGGTCGCATTGGAAGTCCCTTGCTTTCCAAGGCGGCATTTTCTCCGCACGGAAGAGAAGGATGGCATTAATCCTGGCAGTGCCGGCGACGGGCTCGGGTCAGAAGGTGCTTTTGACTTCAGCCGGTGGAGGACCAGAGGGAGGACAACGTGACGCAGAGCAGTTAGTACGAACAGGCCGAGACTCGTTATTTTTCGTTCTAAAACTGCCTGTCACGTGCAAATCTGTTTTTAAAGGTCGCAATCGTCAGGTTCGGCACGCCGGACTGAGCGACGAAGTGACAGCTGCGTTCGAAACGGTACGAAGAGCCGGTCGGTCACACGGCAGCTGTCTCCGGTGTGACACAGGCACGTGTCCTCACGACACGCCCTTTTGTAAATCGCCGGACTCCAACTGAGGACCCCGTCACTGGGAAAGACGCGCGCGAGTCGTAGTTCGCAAGTTCTGAGTGCTGCATGTGTTCCGTTTCAGCGGAATGAAGAAGAGTCGCAGCGCCACCTCTTCCGGGCTGTCATCGGTCCCCGACGGCCTCCCGGAGGTTACACGACACACGAGCAAACGTTAGCGGCTACTAAGGGCAAAATTCCTGAGACCCACTAATCGGGGCCTGTGCCTCACAGAACACACGTGCGATGAGCTACGACCCTACGACAACGCGTCCGTAAACCATCCTGGCGCGAGTCCTTCCGGTGTACGAGTTCCGTGTTATGCCTCTGAGATGTCGGTGGTGACTCAACAGAGAGACGTACTGAAGCGAATCAGGCTGACGCGGACTAAGAACGAACGTGCGTGCTCTGGACAGGCATCAGCATTTTTCCTTTGGACAGAAACATGAGTTTGGCTGCAGACTCGGTTAATACAACAGAAACAACGCAAACGCCCTTGAGGTCAAATTTAACCCAGGGAACCTTACCCTGATCTACATCAACGTTACTTTAGAGAGATGTTAACCTTCTTTGCTTTATTCATGCAAAATCACTGAAGGATTAGAAAACATCAAGATAAATATTTTGGAAGAATGAGGTACCAAATCAAACAAGTGACCACTTAATCAAGAGCTTTCATCGCTATTCGCGAAGGGACCGAGCTTCCCTAAAAATAAAGAAATGGCATTTTACAATGTGAATACTGTTTGGGTTAAAAAAAAAAAAAAAGGTAAATTAGTCACATTTATGTTTTACATTTGTTAGAGGAAATGTCTTTTCAAAAAAGATGAAATCATACTCTCATACAAATATAATGTGAACAGCTGTCAAAAATTTTATTCAAGTAAATTAACTGGCGGGCTAACCAGTGAAATGTTACAGCCAGTTGAAGGAGAATTCAAAGAACAGACAAGTACACAGGCCTTCGAGAATGTGAAATGAATTTGCTGCTGAACTGAGGTACAATCGGTCACCAGCCAGAGGCGATCATTCACAGGCAATCATCCAACAGACAATCACATACATTACTATGTTTTTTCTACAACTGAGAGTTGAAAATTAGCTCAATGACAATTAATGACAGAGACCAACTGCAAGGGTACAGAAGCAGGCACACCCCTGTGATTGTATGTGTCCCATTTCAATGCCTGTCACTCACAAAAGGCAGAGTAAATCAATTAAAGGGGATTAATGGCCAAAGTGTAACATCTGATGAATTATCCTGGAAATGTGCTGTGGCTCTGGGCTGTACCAAGTACACATTCGGAAATCAAATTACATATACATCAAGGCACATATTAGAAAAATAAATGTTCTCAGAGGAGAGAGGATAAATTTTTGAGCTATAAACCATTTTTGAATGTGGGTATGTGCCTAGGTATGAGATACAGGCTAAAATTATGTTCATACTAAAAATACCACCGGTGATATGGTCGAGAGGTATTTCGAAGGCAAAAAAGAGTATCAATTTCTGCAGTGTTTATGTACACTGTAAATATTTACAATGAACATAAATTATAAATATGTATACGTACACACACACACACGGACTAAAGCATATAAATATATGTGTGCATTTTTTACATGTTCTAGTCAGGGTTTAGAAAAACTAAAAAGAAATGAACACAAACGTAATTTCATTTTTCCTTGTATTTTACATATCTATGCACGTATGTATACACACGCGTACATATCTGCGTGCGTGTTCACACATAAGCATGGATGTGTGTGCACGTGTGCTCACTGTGTGTGACTCTGACTATGCTAAGACTAATACAGTAGGCAACTCTAACTGTGCAAGGGACAGCTGTGCTCAGTGCACCCTGCCCGCTGTCTCTACCTTGTTTCCTCTCGACCGTGGGGCTACAGCCTATCATCGTTTTGGAGCCAGCGCACAGGGGTGAGGCTGGGACGAGGGCGACGTGGCGATGGTGACACGCGGGTGCGGGGCAGGCGGAGCAGCGTGGCCGCCGCTCACTCGTAGGGCGGCAGCCCGAAGAGCTCGGGCCGGAAGTCCTGCAGGGACTCCAGCACCACGGTGGCCTTGGCCGTCAGGTCTCGGCGCAGGTGTGCATCGGGCACCATGACCACCTGCATCCCGGCTGCGAGGGCCGCCTCCACCCCGTTGGGAGCGTCTTCAAAGACAAGGCACTGCGGGGTGAGGAAGAGAGAGAGGGTTGAGACGGCCTGGTGGGAGCGACAGCGACACTGCGCTCCTGGCATCGTCGTCGCCACCGGCTTTGCTCCTGCGCAAAGCGAGGCAGCCAGGAAGGGCGCTTCCGCTCTGCGGGCCGCGTGCGGACAGACGCACGCGGTCCCCGTCCGGCGCAGCAGCGGTCCCCAGCCTGTCCGGCAGCAGCGGCCGGGGCTCCCACGAGACTCTAACGCCCGACGACGTGAGGCGGAGCTGAGGCGGTGACACCGGCGCGGGGCAGCGGCTGCGGACACGGACGAAGCTTCGCTCCCCTGCCCGCCGCTCACCTGCTGCTGTGCGGCCTGGCTCCGGACAGGCCAGGGACGGTCCTAGTCTGCAGCCTGGGCGCTGGGGACCCCCGGGGTACAGGGAAGGGACTTTCAGAGCTGCTGACGAAGCTTCACGGAAATGCGGGGTAGCAGAGTGGAAAGGTGGGGCTCTTGATTTAAAACTGTTTTTTGAATCATCAAAATCTATTCAACGAACAACTGAATATCCAGAGCATGAGAGGAAGTCGTGGGGAACACCATACTTTCCAGCAACTTCGGAGTTGGTGCCGTTTGTTTGGAAACGAAGTGCGTAGCGCGGCGTAGTGAACAGGTCAGTGCGTGTGCCAGCGGCGGGTGCCAGTGTCACCAGCAGCTGGCCGCGGCGTCCCCACGTGCGGC